AAATGATTCTCAAAAAAAAAAAAAAAACAAAAACAAAAAACACCCAGCTAACTGAAGCTTGTGTGGCCCCCTGAAGTACAGACAGGAATAGAGGCATGAGGCTTTACCAGGCTTAGGGAGAGTGAGGTGGAGATGCATGTGGTACGTGTAGCTTGTCTTGTACACGGACAGAAAGCTCTTCAGGAAAGGCAAATCTGTCTCCACGTGAATGTCAGAACAGGTGCTAGCTGTGGTCTTAACAAACACTACTCTCTGACTGGTAACAGTTCTTTGGAGGGAATTCCTGACCAGAGAGCTCCCTTTGAAGGATTAATTTCTCAGAAAGAGTCTCTGTCTGTGGTTCTGTGAACAGTGCCCCCTTTTCAAAGGGACCAGCCCACTAGAGTGTCCTGGTCTCCGAGCACCTCAAGAGAAGACAGGTTTTCCCCACAGCACTCTGCCTGTCTTTCTTTGGAAAATTACCTGTATCTTCCACTTTTAAAAGCTCACTCAGTACTGACCAGTCATAGTTATAAAACTAATGAAATAAAAAATTAAAGCATTTTTTCCTGACACATTGACATCTACAAAGCATGTAAAAATGCTTTTAACTACTCCAAATCTTGTTGCATTGCTATGAGGATGATAAATGCGGAATCTAAGAATGATAACTTATAGAAACAATGCAATAAGCCCAGTCGCAAAGCCCTCCTTTAGCATATTGCTCTGTCAAAGTCAGGCAGCACTGGATAGTCAAGGAGGACATTTCTCAAGTTTCGAAGTAACTTAAGGACTGGAGAATCAAGGCCACCAAGAACAAGGCATCAGTGTGCCTTAGTTGTACTGAAATTACAACCAATCAAACAGTGGCCCACTAGTCCCAAATAGCTCTTGCATTAGAACTAAAGTCAGACATACAATTTGAAAAATTTTAAATTTGGACTAGCATTTCAGAGAGTTTTTATAAATACAAAGTTAAACGAAGGAATTTTGTTATAGACTCGGGGATACAAAGACTCAAATGGCATTTGTAAACCGAGATATTTATAAGTTGAGTCACAGGCACACCGCAACGCTGAATGCATGACTCACGATTTGCATCTTATGTGCAATTAGTGTTTAAATGTTACGGCATCATGCCAAAGGCATGCGAGCTGTTTATACGGTCAAGGACCTCAGGATTGCTCCATCATGGCTTTTCTTCTGAGTTTAAATTACTGTCTTTGACCAGGTCCATCATGTTTGTCTGATGGAGGAAAGATAAGTCTGTCTTCTTGTGTTCCATTCTTTTCAAAATGAGCCCAAGTTCCTTCTGCAGTGTACACGGTTTCCAATGTCAAGTCCATGGTTGCTGGTGCAGCTTCACACTGCTCTTTCTGCTCGGGCTCTCGCTTGTGAGCAGTAGCATGGCCCTTCCTTTGGTTCATGGAATGTAAGATCTTGGTTTCCCTGCCCTGTACCATCCCCAGACCCCCTTGTTTATGCTGTCCTCTCGCTGGAATGCACACTCTGGAAGGGCAGGGATCACTTCCAAAAGACTCACCATTGTGCCTTCAGAGGGAAGACCCAGCATCTGGCAGCACAGAACTAGTGAATAAATATTTGTTCCAATGGATGAATCAAGATGATAAGTAAGGCTGATTGCACAGTACAATCCAGAGTCAAGGCTGGATTTATGTATTGAAACCACACAGGAAATGGTGACGACAAATCCCTAGTGTGGGGTCAGCTGTAGGAACACGGAGGGGACAGAGTTTGGAACCAGTGTCAGAGGTAAGGCACAGCATACACAGTCATTTTATAAGAATTAATCAAGAGTCCCAATTTCAAGAGTCCCTTTCCTACCCGGGACTGGAAGACAGATGTCTCGACTGCTTTTGGGAACCAACCCTACAGCTATATTTGTGTGCCATAAGATAGTGTATTTATAACTGCATTCATTATAATGTTTCTACAGTAAAATATATGGACTAAAGGTAAATGTTCACGGAGGTTGGTTGGATACATTGCGATATACTCATCCAATGACAAGCATGCGACTCCAGAAAACAAGCGAGCTTTCTAAATTCCAAGATGGGAAATTTTGTATTTTTACTAAGTGAAAATAAAAGCATCACGTAAAACAATGTCTGTGTGTCATGACACTCTTTATGTTGAAGGGGCTGGGGTATAAAGTGAAGACCACCTGTATACATGCGTATAGCTTGTGTGTGTAAACGTGAAGAAACTGAAAACTGAAACATAAGATTCCACAAGCCAGAGTTTCTACCATTTACCCATCCCCAGAATGAGGACAGCAACGAAGACTGCTCAGAAAGAGGAAGGTGGTCGATGCAGCATTGATCCCATGAAAGAAGCTCTCTGTATTTCTGAATGTATTTTATTCCCAAAGCACATGGGGCAAGTATGAGATACCACTTCTGTGGGAGGCTTTCCAGGTCCTGACGTTCACCTTTAAGGACATTTGAAGAAAAGATGCAGATCTTTTTTTTTCTTCCTTTCTTTTTTGGATTTCTCTGTGTAATAGCCCTAGCTGTATTGGATTGGAATTAGCTCTTGTAGACCAGGTTGACCTTGAACTCACAGAGATCCGCGTGCCTCTGCCTCCCGAGTGCTGGGATTAAAGGTGTGCACCACCATCACCCGCTTTCAGGTGCAGATCTTTTCCCTATAGATTTAAAATGCACAGGATGGAGAGATTTCCAACTAACAATGAAGCTGTCTCTGTCTGGAAACAGTGAAGAACAGGGTCTCCAGGGCGCTCAGTGCTTCTCCGTGGCTGTGTGAGCAGGACAGAAGAAACAGAAGATGACCACCATCGGGTAACTCAGTGACAATGAGAGCAGCCCACCTAGACATAACCAGACTGTCTGCTCACTGAAAACCATTTCCAACAAGTAAGACTAGAGAGGACGAGAGGGAAATTCCTTGCCCCATCGTGGGCCCATCTTGAATCGATTATTCTCCAATAAGGAAATGAATCAATAACTTCCAAAGGAATTTAAACCACTGATACACTTCCCTGCCTGGTACTAACGTGCTCAGTGACATGACTCAGATCATTTTATAACTTATCTTCAACGCGATTGCAGGTGCTCCTCTGCAGCAGGTTTTACGGAGAGGTTGCACGTTCTGCAGTGTGCACTGAGAACTGATTGCGTAGCCTTCATTGCTCTAAAGGAAATGCCAGCTCTTAGGAATTCAGAAGCTTCTCATTGTTAGGCCCCCACCCCCAGACTATGGGACATTGCTAAAAAGACAAGAACAGCATCACATGTCCTTCCCTTCCCTTGGGCAAGACACGTTGAGATGCTCTGAGCCCTCTAGTTGTCAATAGATGCGGTTATAGAACAGTGCACCCTCCTCTGCTTTAAAGACCCAGTGCTTCAATATTTTACAAATCAAAGACAACTGGGTATGTTTAAAATATGCTGCGCTCTTGACTCCCTCCCCGACAAGCACCGTCATAAAGGGGCGCACAGGCTCATCATTGATTCAATTTAGTTCTCCATCTCTGTTTGGTCTACCTGCACCACCTGGTGGTAGTGTATGTTAAGTGCGAAGTTGTGTGTGTGTGTGTGTGTGTGTGTGTGTGTGTGTGTGTGGTTGGGGGGTATGTGGAAAAGAGAATTTTAGTACTTAAATACTCATTTGGACTGATGATACAATGGCTTCATACTAAATATAAAATACAGGCTTGCTCAGTAAAGGATAGGCCAGAACTCATTTTGGAGAGCAAAAGGGCCCTCTTACGTCCATTAGTTAATGACCTTATAACTCTGTTCAGGGTTTATCAGTTATTTATTATGCAATTGCCCTCAAGGGGGCATAAGTCAAACACCAAGGCAAAACCATTTTCCTAAAAGAATAATAGTTTTACCAATCATGTGTCCCTTTGCTTCCATGAGCCACCAGTATAAATAAATCACAAGACACAGGATGTTACAGTGACAGAGCAGCACCGGCCCCATGAGACATGGTCATTGATTTGATACCCGAAGCAGCAGCTGAGCCATGGGGAAGTCCAGTGACTGGTCCAAGGGCACACTGTTTGTTAGAATCACCATCCAATAGGAAGCTAGATCCCTCAGCCTAAAGACTCACACACAGTGGTGTAATACCTGGGAAAAGATATGTCCTTGCTTGCTTAGGAATACCTGCTTTCAGACCCTGAGTGGTGGACTATCCCCTGTATTCTACTTGCAAAAAACCAAACCAACCAACCAAACACCCCCCCCCCCAATTAAAAAACAACAACAAAAAGCCATGTAAGGTCAGGGAGCCTGTGTGGGTCCCTGTATGCCTATATAGGTTCCCTGCATATATGTTATGGCTAAGTAGGTTGGTGTTCTTGTGGGACTCCTAACAGTAGGAGGGAACGAGGGCTCTGGCTCCTTTGTCTACTTATGGGATCCTTTTCCTCCTACTGGGTCGTCTTGTCCAGCCTTGATGTGATAGTATGTACCTGGTCTTATTGTAGTATGTTATGCCGTGTTTGGCTGATGTCCCTGGGAGGCCTGTTCTTTTCGGAGGGGAGATGGAGGGAGCACGGATCTGAGGGACAGGGAGATGGGTGGAGAGAATGGGCGGGAGGGGAGGGAGAGGTAATTGCAGTCTGGATGTAATATATGAGAGAATAATACTAAAAAAATAACATAAAGATTGTCTAACTATTTAAAAGCCTGTATACATGCTCTTGGAAATGTTTCCAAGGTCTGAGCAGCGGCTGTGTTTTAAAGATCTAACATTATTTCCCTTTCTCCTTGTAACTGCTTGAGAATCAGAGGGCTGGTTCCACAGAGCCGATGCCCACTTGTAGATTTAAACATAAGCCGTGTTCATAGCTCCCCCTTATGACCACTCAACATTACACAAGCCTCCTTCTAGCCCTGCTGTTTCATCCACCAAACAGCTCACTGGTTAAGTTTTAATTGCTTCCAATGAGGTCAGCAAAGGTATTTATTGAAAATCTCTGAATAAAAGGCTCCACGCACACACACAAGCGCACGCGCTCACACACGGAGAAAACCCTTTTGCCTGTTGATTTATGGAAACAATTATGATTCTGCTGGAGGATTTCTCAGCTGAGAAATAGTTTGTAGCTACAGCAGAGAGGCTCAAGTTGCACGAGGCAGGCAGCAGACACGGACCTCTTGTGTACCCAGCTGTTCTAAACAGAACAAGTAAGTTACTGTTATTTGTCTTTACAGAAACGCTGACTCTCTTCTGAAAGGTTTTCTCTTTCTGTGGTTACGGTACTGTGGGGGGGGGGCGTTTGAACCATAAATATCTGCAGAAATGTGCTGGAGTATGTATGGAAAGAGAAGCTGGAAGCTCTCCAGAGCAATCCCGACACTTAACTTGAAAAATATGGGCAGTTTAGGGGAAATAATTATTAAGCACAATGTAAAAGCATATGCTAATGAAATCCAGGGACAGCGTTTCTCCTCCACTGATAGTGGCTATAAAACTCAATTTGAGTCAATAGCTCTAAGTACAGGGAGCTCTTAGCAAGACAGCAACCGGAATGAATGGTGCGGTTTTATTGTGATGGCTCTCCCTTAATGCCTGGCTCTTCTCAATTTGCATGCAGAGTGGCAAAGATGCTAATACCCTCTGTGGAAGGTGTTTTAAGCGTGCCTTCGATGCTTAACTACACTGTGTGTTATACTACTTGCCCACTGAAATTGATACAACCAACTTTTCTCTTCCTCTCTCCTCCCCACCCCTCCCCATTCTTTATCTCTCATTGTGAACAGAAGTCAAGGAGCACACGGCAGTACAGCAACTGGCCTTGCTGCAAAAGCCGTGTGTATAAGGATTCATCTCTCAGCTGTGTTACTGAAGGAGGAATCCTGCTATTGGTATCCGAAGCTAAGAGATAAACTTAAGAGTCTGGAAAGAGCGACCACCTTTTCTCACAGCAATCTCCAGTGCCCAGACAGGAGGAGGCCCATGACCTAGGAGTGGCAGTCAGCCCAGGATTCGGTTCTCATTATGTTATTCATGAACACCCGGAGCACTACACTATAATGCGCAAATGGATACTGACATGGATCCTGCCACCTCTGCTCTACAGGTCCTGCCTCCACCTTGTCTGTCTAGTGGGCACTATGTCTTTAGCATGCAATGACATGACTCCAGAGCAAACGGCCGCGAATGGCAACTGTTCGAGCCCCGAGCGACACACACGGAGTTATGATTACATGGAAGGAGGGGATATAAGGGTGAGGAGACTGTTCTGTCGCACACAGTGGTATCTGAGGATTGACAAGCGAGGCAAAGTGAAGGGGACCCAGGAGATGAAGAACAGTTACAGTAAGTGACGTCTTTATTACAGCCCTGGTGAGAGCTTTCTGTTTTGTTTAAAGCTCACCTTTTGGTGGCATGTTCTCCTTTCTTCTGGGGCGGAGGGGGGGGGGGCAATGCAGTACCAACTCCTAATTTCTCTACATTGGGGTTTCTGCAACAAGTCTCTAAAATATCTGAGAACAGGGCAAGTGTACTCATCTTATGGCTGGAAGGGACAGCACAAGGCAGGGAAAATCCTTGCACTGTGGCCTAAATCCAAAACGCTCTTTAGTAAGAAAACGTTTTGCAGACAGTCCTCAGGCTGACATGTGTTGTTCGCCTAGCAAAGTCCGTGGAGGTTTGCAGACAGCTCTCAGTAGGGGTTCACCAAACTACCAGCCCCGAGTCTGAGGAACAGAGACGGGATCTGCCTTTATAAGTTGTGTTGCCTTTGAAAGGACTTTGTCATGGTGCAAACCGGTTCAGAATCTTCTTTCTGAGCATCCACAGCTGTGTGTTTCTAACACCAAAGGGGTCTGCAGTGCCTTCAACCATCTTAGTCTAATGAGCTTGTATTAGATTCTTTGGTCCCCTACCCAACAGACGACAGATCTTTCCATGGGTCTCTGCCATGGAACTTCTATGTTGCTTTATGAGGAACATAACTGTGAGGAAGCAGAAGTGAGTTAGAGAGAAATTATGTCCAAGCCTTTCAGCTGGAGCACCCCACTCTTCCCTCAAGCCCCAGCTACCCTTTCTCCTTAGAATGTCAGGGCTTGCATTTTCATCTAGTGATTACAACTAGTAACTAATTTCAGTGGCGTTAAATTCAGCAGAGCGCACACTCAACGGTCACCTTAAGCATTTAAAACTCACAGGTGGAGATAGGTTTGCCAGCATTACTAGTAAGTGGACAGCATTGACTCTGTGTGTTTGGTAATATGTGTGGTGGCGTAGATGAAAAAGGATGCGTGGAGGTTAACAGTGTAGCTGAGTGTCTGTGACAGGGTCACTCCAACCTTTCCTTATCTATTCTCCAAATAGTCTTTGAGATCTAACCTCATTGACCAATAGGCAAGAGTTTGGTGACTCTGTTTCCAATATGAAAATGATGGACCTCCATTTAAGCTATGGCTGATGGAAATTGTGGGTAAAGGAACCTGCCAGGTCTGGAAGACTAGTGCTATGGAATTCAGCTAAACAAATTGATAGCTGCTTCTATGTGAGCCATTGAATTTGGCTTTTTCATTTCATTCAAAAACCAGTGAGCTTTACCATAGATGACAGAATCTGGGGGAAGGTCAGAATCTAAGCGGCAGTGACAGCAGCACGTGTTCTGTCCCTGTCTGGAAATGACTCTGCGGACAAGTTCTTAGTTTTTCCATCCTTCAACCTGGAAACATGGATGCAGTTTTCAAAACCCTTTCTCATTGCCACAGTCTACTGTGTTCTAAATCAGGGACTGTACTATACAGTGCAAAGAAGCCTAACCACCCCTTTCCACAACTGTCACCCAAAGAAGGAGCTAAAGGTGTCTGCTATCTCTCCACAGTAAGTCATGCAGCTAGGGCTAATTTCACACTTCATAATCAGGTTATCATAGCTGGACTGTAGGCTTTTTCTACTTAAGGACTAATTCCTTTGGGTGCTTTCTACTAACTCATGCAAAAGGTAAAAAATAATGGAAGATAAAATTCAGTGAAAAAATGAGTATGTACAATTATTTGAGACTAAAGCAGTTATAATTGGAATGCATACATATATGTGATTTTTATTTTGTTTTGTTAAATTCCTTGAATTCATAAATTTCAAATATTTGTACATACTTGCAAAGTGGTAAAATCATTTTATGTTTTGAAGCCTGGTTATCCTTGAGTAGCCCTAAAGCCCATTTGGCTCTCCCCTTTCCCCCAACACTGATTCTAGAGTAATAAGACAGACAAAAGTCTCGCCCCACATCACAGTACCTCTGTACTCAAAGAGACTGATAGAGTTTATGCAAATGACTTTCACTTACAAGCTTTTAATAGTCTAAACTTACATACTTTCTCAAGATAGTAAAATCTCCTAGAAAGAGAAAACCTCACCAGAACCTTTTAACCAAACTACAAAGTGGTTGCCATGGCCCTGCCAGCCTATTGAAATGGACAGGTAAGGTTTCTCCAAAGTTAGACAGATGTCAAGGCATTTTTTGTGTAGGAAATCCCAAGAGATAGAAGAATAAAGGAAAATAATTTATTCAGAGAAAATTCTGATAAGCATCACTTGCTGGTTGAGGCAGCCTTGCTCATTTTAAGCATGAATACAAGCAGGGCACCTGAGAGGTTGAAGATACGGAATCCAGGTACAAGGAGTGTGGGCAGCTGGGCTTGTTTACATCAGCCCAAGAGGAGGCAGGCGAAATGCAATCACAAAAGCTGGGGATGGGTTCACAGTCCTCAGAATCAGCTCAAAGATCCAACCAGGAGGTTCCCCTCCTGCTGTCATTAGAACGACAGTTCAAAGTAACTGGATTCAAGGCAGCAGAATTCAGAAAGGAATAAAGCTCAGAAGTAAAGCCCAGATTTCCTTCCCATGGTCTGATGCCTTCCATTTCTACGTAGGTCCTTGAACGTCTTTGGAAGCCCTTTATAATAGCACTGGTTTTCGTTTTCTTTCCGTTAGCCACTCTCTTGGCTTTTGTTTGAGTGAAAGGAAACATGACCCGAGGATATGAATAAGACTTGGCAGGCTGCTTGCTTCCCCAGCGAAGCATGGCACCCTGGGGTCCTATACATGCTAAGCACGCCTGTTACCCACTGAACCACATATTTTCCTCCAGGGAATATGCTTTATAAGACATTGATAGATATGGACCAGCACTTCGGGAAGAGGCAAAAGACCTGGTTACGGCACCCTTGCTTCCTTAAGGAGTGGGACTGGGATAGGTGTACCAAGAGCAGGCAGGTGGGGTTGGTGTTAGGTCACGTGCCGTACCTCAGCTCTTCAGGGGAATTGAAACATCACTTCAGTGGTGTTTGGAGCCTTTGTTTCAGTCTTCCCCCATGTTAGATTATTTTGCAGAAAATATCAAGTTTAGATCAGAATAAGTAAACTGTATAGTAAAAAACAAAGAAAGAAAACAAAGAATCCCAACCCCTCCAGACAGTTCACCAAGGATGAATTTATGGATTTTGGAATTCAGGAGGAGACCACTGTTTGAACCCCTTAGGGCAGTGCAAGGGGGGGTGGGGAGGGGTCACAGATCTCCTCTCTGTTCTCTCTGGTGGCCCCTCATTCAGCTCTAGGTTTCGAAATGACAGAACTGGATCTTAACAAGAAGAATAGACGCAGAAGCCCTCACAGCAGGGGAACATTGGTAAGTAGTATCGTGGAGGGACAGGGAGTGAATGGTCAATGCTCCTAGCGCTTCTGTTGTCAGAACCGTCCTCTTGGAGGCAAGGCCAGCGGCTGGGTCTAGATAATGATTGGAGCAGACAGCTCCTCAGCAGACAGAGGCAATCACTCCACACCTGACAAAAATAACACAGCTGGGAGTTGAGGTGCTGAGTGAGAGATGGCAGCAGTGAGCTGGGTGCCCGACAACTGCTCCGAGAGACAGATGTGGGACAGAGGACCCAGCCCCTGACGATCAGTTTCCTGCTTTGTTTGTCTTTAGTCACTAAAATATTGTGTTCGCAACAATAGTTAATACCATCCGTTCCTCTGGAGAACTCCTTGATGACCAGAAGCCTCTGATCCAGGAGGAAGCCCATCTGCCTTTTTGAGCACTGTTAGTCACAAAGTAAGAAAGGGTTATTTGTTCTGAAAGTTGGCCAATGGCTTGGCAACATTTGCTCTTGGACTGGTAGGCTGTGATGGGATGTGGCCTCACAATTGGCGGAACACAAATAAACACAGCATTGTTGGATTTGACTTTGGCCACAGAACCTTCAGCAACTCAATTGTCAACAATTCCTTGGATGGGTTCCTGTCTGTGTTAGTCTCTATAGGGCCTCCCAGTCCACAACATCTCAGAATGCCGAGAGTGCAAACATACTCGGGTCCCATAGAGTTCTCAGTAACTGCTCTAGAAGAGCAACCCATACCATCAGAATAAAGAATCAAAATTATAAACGCAACACCCGCCTTTTAAAAAAGGATAAAGACCTTATCCACAAAAAGCTATGGAGTTCTGTGGAGCATATGCGCAAAACAAAATCCTAGAAATGATTGACAAGCTGGAATCTTCTAGAACTGGCAACTGGGATTCCTTATTAAAGGAATCTCAAGTCTTTTAAATATGAGGGATGCATAAATTGCTGAGGGGCAGATTTAGAAATGTTAGCTACTCTATGAAAAGTCAGTTTTCAATTGTTTTTTCCATATTTAGTTACGGCAAGTAACTGAAACTTACTAAACGCTAGAAACTTCATTAACACAAATATGCTCTCTTAATATTACCTCACTTAAAACGACCAGGTTTTAATGCTTAGTTTTTTTAGCTTTGATTATTTAGTGTGTGTGTCTGTGTGGGTATGTGCGTGCTACTGCAGAGATGCCCAGTTTTTAATGCTTTGGTTTTTAGCTTTGATTAGTGTGTCTGTGTGGGTATGTGCGTGCTACTGCATAGATGCCTAGTGGAGGACTCAGGTGTGAGGTCCCATGAACCCAGTGTTATGGGAGGGTTCTAAGCCACCTGATGAGGGTGATAGGAATCAAACGCAGGTCCTCTGCAAGAGCAGTACAGGTTCTTCACCACGGGGCCATCTCTCCGGCCCTAAACTGACCATTTCAATGTTACTGTCATCTCTGCATTAGTCCAGATCAGACGGCCCTTTCCCTATGGCTGAGGTGTAGAAGCTCTCTCCACAGCCTGTGGGGTAGGAGAACCAAAGGCCAGAATGACCTAAGGCAGTAGAAAAAAGGCAGATTTTAGACACGTGGAAGGAGCTGCTTTCTCTAGACCTTTTTTCCCTTCTATTTCTCAATCTTGGCTGAATATTGTTTTCATCTGGGACCTGTAAAAAATACTGATGCCAGATCCC